TTGATTCATCCATGCTGGCTCAAGGCCTAGGGAGATGCAGCTCTAGAAGCAGGAGTTATATTCAGGAGTCTGAGGGCTGGGGATGTGGAGGAGGAGGAAGAGGCATGAAGAGGAGGCTCTTTCTTTGCATTATCGGGAAGGAGCTTAAGAAGGAAAAAAATATCTTACATCGCCTATGATGAAAAATGGTCTTGAAAAATATGCTTATCTGTTTGAAAAAATGCATGATTATCTTGTTTAATAGTGGTCTGTTTGAGAGCTGTTTCTTCACATACTTTGTACAACACATTAAATCCTTTACACACAGACTTTTAAATACTAATTTCATAGATGTTTTTCAGAAAGGCTATTTCTTAATGATAAATCACTTTTCATCAGGTTTCTATTGATATTTTCCAGATTTCACAGAATAAGGAAGCTTAGCCCCAAAAAGATACAGGAAAAAAAATTCATAGCTTAAAAAAAGAAAAAGAAAAAAGAAAAAGCTTGGATTCCTTCCTGCTTTTTTAGGTATAGGCCCAAACAGTCAAGATTATTAAAATGATTGGTTCATACTGTTTAGAGGAAAGTGAAATCAGCTGATGTTGGTTGTGAGATATTTCATCTCCTTTAAATCTCATTTTGGAAGTCCCTTATTTGGGAAAGGAAGAGGAGAGGTTTTTTGTTTTTGTTTTTTTAATGAAGCTGGTATTTCCCTCAGTCTCAGCTGTTTCTCTCCTTTGCATGGGGTTGTCACAAACTCAAAACACTGCCCCGTGGTGAGGAATTGGCTAAATAAGAAATGATAGTCTGTTATGATGGCACCGGAGGGAGTTATCGGATTTGCTGCGCTGGTGTGAGCTGCAGGAGTTGTGGGTCGTGTGGCCATGTGCTGGATTTCACAGGTCCAATGACAAAGTTCTTGATCTTTCCAGATCTATAAACATTAAGTTGGAAATCTCAAGAGCACTTTTTAACCTTGGTGCTTTGAAGAGTTGCTGTAAATTCAATGTGAACAGTTTTCTGTTGGAATGTTTCAGCGTTTCTCTTTTCAGTTTTCTTAAGGAAAGTGAAAAGAATTGTATAAATGTTTAAAAGTATTTTGAGATATAGTACAGGCTTTGCTCATTGCATGATAAAAACCTATTTTGAATTTAGTATGGAGAGCAGCTTAGCTTCTGCCTCAGATTCCCATCTTTCATGCACATATCACCTGGGGAATCTTTGTCATGAACTTCGGTTAGCAAAAGTCAATTAAGACTTCAGTGTCATAACACCACCACAGGGCCTCCTGCTATCATGTCATTGCAAAGGTTGTTGCATTAATGAGGTATGAAAGCAGATTAACGACTAATCCAAGGTGTATGCTGCATTACTTCCTTGAAATAAGGACTGCAAATATTCAAGCACCACAGTCACATGCAATTCAAAAGCTACTTCAAATATACATAAAACATAAATAATAATATTATAAATAATATGAATAAGGATAATATATACTGACAATTCAGAAATGAAAGATGTCTTGCACAGAACTAATCTTGGGTGTATTTAAAACTCTGTAAGAATAGCGTATAATTTAAATACTTTTTTTTCTTCACTCCTCCTAATCAGCATGCAGCTGTTTTGCTAAGAGACAGGCAGCGTAGGATCCTGGCCAGCAGAAGCAGAGCAGGACGTCTGTCCTTTGTGGAGGAAAAACGACAACTCAGATGTGAATGTAGATTTTTAGTTCTGAAAAACACAGGCAGTTGAATTTTGTACAGAAGAATCTTCTCAGGAAAACAAGAATCTCTTTGAAGCTCTTTTTTATTGCTGCAATTTGAGAAACTGGAGTAGCTCAGACTGCGTCACTCACTGATACCTTTGTGGATGACAATAAAATTTTAAGAGACTTTTACAGATTAGAGGACCTTTTTTTTTTCAAACTTGCAAGATGTATTTCACTGCTAAATGGCTCATAAAATCACACAGTTTAAAATGTATGTTTTTCATTTTAGATTTAATCTTTTTATGCTGAGTGCTTGAGCATAACTGCAGCTACAGCTCTGACTCTTGTGATGGTGCTTGAATGGCTTCTACTCTAGAGGATTTGCACATAAATCTCAAAAATATGATGAGTGGTGTTTGAAATCAAGGGTAACAATCCAACTAAAATTTGCTTGAGGAGGGTTCAACTCAAGTCTGATCACCAGTGGCTGTGTAATAAAAATGCTGACTGGACACCAAAGCCTTATGTAGTTTGGTGGGTATGTCTGCTCCAGTCCTTAGGAGGACACAACGTTCCTGGCTCCCAGTTTTGTGGAAATAGGGGCATTTGTGCCTGACCCCATAAGAATCTGTGCTCGTTGGGAGAGAGTTGTTTCTTATTTATGAATCAGAAGGGGTAGACCTCCTATAAAGGATGGTGGGAAATGTGAATACAAGCAGTGCCTGCTTTCACATCATGTCCTTAGTTTTCCTTGGTGGTGGTTCCCTCGGCATGCTATTCCTTGGGTCACAGCACATTTAATTTTCAGCAGTGAGTGAGCGCTGTGCTGGCTTCTTACACATACCTGCCAGCAAGTTCTGCCTGCTGGTTTGCCGCTTATTCTCGAGGTGGCAAACAAGCTTTTTATTCCTGAGCAAGCTTTTTCAGTGCTGGATGAAAAATGTAGTGTATGGGAAATTAGTTCAACTGAAAAGCAAAGTTCTGCCGAGGGGAAAATTTTCACGCTGGAAGTCTGTCATAAAATACGAGTTGCTGTGATGGGTGAATTTATAAATTGCTGTCAAACCGGTGCTGAATGGTGTTAATATGGTTGTTTAGGGCAGTGCTCATTTAATTATTAACTGTTATGATATAATATCATTATTTCTCTTGGATCTATCTTCTCTTATTTAGTGTGCTTTCTGCTGCTGGGATTTTCAAGCAGCTAAGTCTACACAAAACCTTCTCCTTTGAACGTGACACTGAAGAATTATTTCTGTGTCAGATTCACCAGGAGGCCATGCTGCTACTGTAGAAACAAATACACTGTGTAAAATTGCATCTGTTTCTTGTGGGTATAAAAGCACGGTGCAATGAGCGAGGAGTTTCTGGAGTAACTTTTAAGCCCTCCAAAGCACATCTCTCTGAGGGCTGGGATAATAGAGGTGTTAAGTGAGGAGTTCAAGAAGAACTTGTAGATGAAAACCTGGACTGAATTTCATCTCACAGCATATCCTGGGAACCAGGTTATTTCAGACCACAGACATAGGGTGGAGAGTATGCTATCTTCTGGAAGTACCAGTGGGTCTCCCAGTAGGATGGATGGATGCAGTTTTTCCTCTCACCCACAGGATAGCTTGGTCAGGCTCACATTGATAACTAAGAGTTTGGATTATTATTATTTTTTTTTTTCAATGTGGCCAAAGTACACCAATGCCACTTCCATCATTTTACTCGCTTCCCTTTCATCCTGATTTTCCTAAGTGTGGGAGTTTGGGTAATGTGCAAAATGATAGATTTTTGCAATATCTCAGTCCAGGGAGCGTGGCCCAGGTGCTCCTCTAGTTGAGCCTCTTGGCAGCAAGATCCCCATATTTGTGCTTTAAATAAAAAGTGCAGTTTCTCATCACTCTTTCTGACCCTGGAGCAGTAGAAGCAATCTGTTCTTACTGAGAAACACTGAAGCTGTGTAGAACTGGAACAAATGTAGAGATGGATTTCTGTTACAATTCTGTGGAAAATTTTGAGAAAAAGAATGTTTTTTGAGGCAAGTCTGGAGCAAGAAGAATTTTTTGAATGTCCAGAATGCCAATGTTTCTGAATCACCAAAAGGGCAGCACTTTAGAGAAGAGGCTACATGTTTCAATGTCAGATGGAGAGCAATAATTGGGAAATAAAAACAGTATTTACTAAGCTAGGTAGATTATACTAGAATTAGTAAAAACTAGCTAAGCAATTTCAAACCTTCAGGGACAATGACTTGATATAGTTGGTGTAATCATTGTTAATGACTGGGTTACTCATAAGTGGTTTTCTGTTTTTAGAACATGCAGCTTAACGATGCAGTAGAGGAGGAGGATAGGGAAAGCAAACAACAGTGCTATGGTCCATCTTAGGAGAGGTGGCATGTGTAGTAGCACTCTGAGTAATAGCCTTCTACTGACAAATTTGTTTTAAAAAAATGAAATAACAATAGAAAACTCAGTTGCATAGATTTTCAGTTTTATAGCTGTTACATGGAGATGTGTGGTAAGCAGTTTTTGATTCAATGCTCAAATCCAAAGGCAGGAAATTTGGGATTAAACCAACAGTTTTCAACAAGAGCAAAAAGAAATCTTCCCTTTCCCTGTATGTTTTAGTTAGAAACCCTCTAAAATGTCTTTTTTTCCCCCCCTAGTGCTAACTAGTTGATGTTTTGAAAAACACTGAAAATCAATAAAAACTAAAAAATATACATTTTTTTCTTTTTAAAAATATTGAAATGAAATATTATCAACCCCTTAATTACTGCTTTTTGGCTGAAGGCATTAGTGGAAATTATCCGTGTGTCACAAAGACAGTTTGAAAGCTGCAGTGTCAGCTCATATGTTGAAGTCTGACCAGGTGAGCAAGTCTTGGGCCACTGACCTGAGTATTATTGCAGTGAGACCAAAGTGTGATATTACATGCAGGTCTGATGTGGATGTATTTACAGTGGTGCTGAAAAGCTGGTGAAGTTGTGCAAAATGCTAAAAAGATGATTCATGGAGTGGACAAGTCATCCATGATGTTGAAACTACTTTAAAAATGATGTCTGTGTCATGAATTGTATTATTTTCAACAAATAATGTTTTTCTTTCTCCTCTATTAAGGCTCCCAAAAATGTTCAGCATCTCCACTTTCGCAAACTGAGGCTTTACTAAACTTTACAGACTTCATGCTTTTTTACAGCATTAACAGGATTTAGTGCGTGGACTTCATCGTGCTTCCGATGACTGAATTAGCTTGCTCATTAACCACTGGACAGCTGATTAATTTTTCACCGATTTATTTATTTTTTTTTCCCTTTCAGGTTTATGATGAATGTGACTTGGGAAGGTAAAGATTTGTCCTTCACTGCCGACGGTTATCAGGCACACCCCAGGCTGGTGGTGATCGTACTGAACAAAGATCGTGTGTGGGAGAAGGTGAGCATCATCCGTAGGTAAAGGACATGGGAGGAGGTAGGAGAGACTAGGCAGAACCATATTAAAGACGAGCAGACAGATTAATATCACACACATCAATGATGATATTCTGCTGTAGCAGGTTTGTCACAACAGTTCAGAGAAGGTAATTTTGCTTTATTTTGAGTAGGTCTAAGGAATTTTAATGAGGAAGGCAACGTATCAGTGAAGAGATATCACATGGATTTCAGGTTTTTATGAAATGCACCTTTTGTTTCTCTAGCACAATTCAGCCAGCTAGAATGGGTGACTGAAAAATTTCCTGAAATTTGGACCTTAAGTGTCTGAGTGCATGGATTTGTGTATCTCGACACAATCCAGGAGCTATACAGAAAAGTCCTTTTACTTGTTTGATGGGATTTTTCAACAGAATTTAAGCAGATTTTATTCTCAATTTTGGCTCTGATGTTTTGCAGGATAGTTGTGATACCATGTGTCAAAAACCAACACCTTAGTGTTTGTTTGCACTATGGGAAAAAATACAGATGTATCATACCCCCTGATCTATTTTAAATTCATAAAGCATGACTGTGCATTATCTAAATTGCTGCCGAAATCTTTGAACTCTTTTGTCTGATACTTTTAGGATCTCATAAATCCAATTCTTTTTTGTAAGGCTGTCAGGTTCTTCATGATGTTGAATAATAATGACAAAATAAGAATTATTTGATGTAGGACATCTCTGTAAATATGCTAGTCATGCAAAACAGAGAGAGTAATCCTAGATTATGCTGTGTGCTTCTTGACATTCATTTGATTTAATTCTCTGGATAAATTTAATTCTACCCAAATCTGTCAGTTGGAATCATTGGAGAATCTCTTGCTTAGTATCTGTTATGCCAATTACTTACCTAATTTTAAAATTCTGCAACAGTCTTCATATCACATATAATGTTCTGGAAAAGTATTATCCTAGTTGGGGAATATTAGTGTGGCACTGAGGGCAGAAAATGGGCATATTGGTAGACAACAGTGCTCATGGTGTCATAAATTTATTTTGGATCTTGATACTTCTCTAAAGAGAGCACTCACCCGACATGGGGAAATAGGTTAAATGCTCTTGAAAAATGAGTGAAGAAATGCTCAACATATGCACCAACAGTATGTGCAAGAAATAAGTTGAGCCACTTTTAACCTTTGAGTGTCTCCTTTATGAGAGCATGGATGTTTCAGTCCAGCTTTTGCTGTAGTTAGTTGAGCATATTGTATGGCAGAAGTGTACACTCCACCTACTGCACTGGGCTACAAGGCTCTCTGTAGGATGAGACCTACAGTTTTCATCTGGTGTCTATGAGGTGTTTTTAGAAGGAGAAAGAGTAACTGAGAGGACACTGCTGCCCAGAAAATGTTCTGCATCTACTCCTAGATTCTACCTAGATTTAGAGCCCTTTTGGTAGAGGCCAGATGAGATATTTTGGTAGAGAGAGCCTGCCCCTAGCTGCAGTTTTGTCTGCTTCTCTATCGTAGGACTATGGGAAAGCAGCCAGGTTTAATTATGTCAGAGCAGAGAAGTGAAAGGCAGCCAAGAACGGGCTGTCACCACCAGAATTATCCCTCTGACCACAAGCTGATCCCTGCCTCCATGGATGAAGACAAATAAACTGACTAATCAATTATCCTGGCAAGCTGGAGGCAACTTTCAGCTGTATTGGAGCACCCCACGTTTATAGCAGAATTTCACTCTGCTCTTCAGAAATAACAGAAACGTTCCTCTGATTAGACACACAGGGAGGTTCTTGCCCACCCCAGGTTTATTTGAACATCTCTGTAGTGCCGTACTGATGTTCTTTCCAAGTTTCTTTCCTCACTTCTTATCTCGTAGGAGAAAGGAGAAAGAAATTGGCTTTCTCACTGCACTGTTTTGCTCAGTTTCAAAACTGACATCTGTGGTCCAACATTTCCTGCTTTGAGTTTCCTGACAAGTGCACGCATTTACTTCTGATTGCAGTATTTCAGTTAGCATCACAGAATTGTTTTACTGAAGTCTTATTAAATATTCTCAGTCGTAGATGGAAAACATCAAATCCTAGAATCTAATTAAATGATTTGCTCATGTGAAAAACTGCCAATGCAACAGTCTGCTAATCCTTGTAATATAACTAATGTACACAGAAATTTGAGTACTTGCTCTATATTTTATGTAAGAAAGAGTAATAGTGTTTTATGTGAGGATTTTTTTTTTGTCCAATATCCTCTTGAAAGTATAAGATTTAATATGAAAACTCAATTTTCTTCTGTTTAGGTAATAATCTGCTTTTATTTAAGCACAGTTTTCCTCGGTCTCAAAATTGATATACTTGATTCAAGGCTTGAGGTTATAGAAAATTCGCTCAAGCATAGTTGAAGAGCATTCATCTTACCCCTAGGAAAATAAGCTCATTTTTTCACTGCAGATGACTCAGTATCAAAACTTTGAAATAGAAACTTTACATATAAATGGGATTGACTGAGGAATTTGTCCCATATCTGATTCTGAAAAAAGCTGGTTGGATGATAATTGTTTGAAGACTGAAAATCACTTTTGGGCATGTTCTGCAGGCATCCAGCAAGATATTTTGACAGATCATTGAGCAGCTGCTCGAACTTCTGTCATCAACATTCATATTCTCCCTTCTAATCTTGACAGGCAACAGGGTTGCTGTTCTCAGACAAGAGATTTTTAAGAAGACAAGCTTAATGTTTCAATGAAACTTAATATATTTGCCAGTGCTGCCCAGTGATCACCAACGCTCTGCAGCAACACTGACTTAAACTGAAGAAAATCTCAAGATCCATCAGTACCAGCTGCATGTTCCCCATTAAGCTCATCTCAGTGCAAAGTGACCTTTATGTTTCACCTTGCCTGCTCACTGAGTTCCAAACTTCACAGGCTATTAGTTTTCGTTTCATTCTGGTTTTTTTTTCCTCCTTAAATTGGGAAAATTAATTGACATAAAACCAATCAACCCAATATTAAAATTATATACTGGAATATAAATAGCAGTAGCAAAATCAGGTTAACTTTAATTAGCTGTGTGTATGCTGTATGTTAAATAAGGTTGGGAGGACTATGTTGCATTTACAGATAATCATTTTCCATGTGTAAAGATGATTTCCAGAATAAAAGAAATTTTGTTGGTGCTCTCCAATTAATAGAGGTGAAGTTAGCTTGAGGATGTCAGTATTTTCTTCTCTCTTCTGAGAACTAAATTTTGGACCAACACTGACTAAGTTGTAGATCTGTGATTTATTCTTTGCTTTGGTGAGCATGAGTGAAGTAGGCAAGTTACAGTAATGGATGAACCATTATTTATCTCCAAGTTTATTCTAAATGTAACCAAAGATTTTAAGCTTTCTTATTAATGCAGGAATTAGTGTAGAACTTGAATTTGCTCTGATAAACTAACATATGCCAGATTTGCAAGCCCTGTATGAGGTTGTATGTATTTGTATCTAGGAAGAAATGAGTAGGCAGAGAGTGCACGATTCCTGCCTGGAATAAATGGACCAAGGTCTTCACAGAGAGTTCCATCTGTCTACTGACATCTACTTTTGTGTGGCTAAGGAGAGACAACTGTCAGATGAAATGGCATAGATGAAACTTCACTGGACAAAAACTGGAAAGCCTAACACTTGGTCAGATTTCTGACAAAGTTTTTTGTCAAAGTACTGTGATAATAAACCATCACTGAGATGTTACAGAGCGTTTTTTGGGAACTTGTGTGCGAAGCTGACAGCTGAAGGATCATTCCAGGGAGACCTTGTGATGGCCTTCCAGTACATGAAGGGGCCTAAAGGAAGGATGAGGAGGGACTCTGGCAGGGAGTGTGGTGATAGAAGGAGGAGCAATGATTTGAAACTAAAAGAAAGTACATTTAGATCAGAAATTAGCAAGAAATTCTTTACTCAGAGGGTGGGTAAGGCACTGGCACGGGCTGCCCAGAGAAGCTACGGAAGCCCCATCCCTGGAATTGCTCAGTGCCAGGCTGGGGGAGGCCCTGAGCAGCCTGGTCCAGCTGGAGGTGTACCTGGCAGGTATTATGGAGGTGCTTGGAGCTAGACCATCTTTAAGGTCCCTTTAACTTAAACTGTTGTATAATCCTATGATGATGATGGGGCTAAAATTTGCTAAAATTTATAATATGTCTATATGAACTACTATGCATGATCTAATGCTGTACCATTTGTCGGTAGCTTTGTGCCTAAGCTGATGCCCATAGCAGATGCAGCATGCCCTTAACATGTCAGGTTATCTTTTTCCTTGCTTCATTCTTGTCATTTAGGGTATTTAGTCTTACTGTAACATCCCTGTATTGGTACTGCTGAGTGAAGGTTCTTTGTATGTTGTTTCTGTGTCAGGGAGCTTCAACTTGGTCAAAGGAAAGGCCTTTCAGCTTTTACTGTGCTGGATTTTTTGAATTACAGCAATTATTATGCACCATTTCTTAATGTCCTGTATTCCAAAGAATGATTATTCCTTTCTTATTTCTACTTTTCTTCCTTTCTGTTTGTTTATAATCTCTGTGGGTAATTAATTTTCCTATGAGCCTTGATGGCTGTGGTCTTGGTGCTTTCCTGTCAGTGTAAGGAGCAGCCATAAGGGATGAACAGTACATTTGCATACCCCATGTGAGATTTTGCACTAATTTTTGAAAACTTCAAAGTCTTCAAATGGCCATCTTCATCTAAGATATAAGGCTGTAAACCATTCCTTATTAATAAGATATGAAAATGCCCACGTCATATTTTGTCATTTAAATTAAGAACGTCAATGTGAAATGCAAACCTTGACCAGCATGAAGCAACACAAAGGTTTTGCAACAGAAGGTCCACAACAGATGCTGATTCTGGAGAAAGGATTTGTCTTGTGTTCTTTGTTCTGCTGCTATTTGTTATTACTATTCTGACAAAGTTGATTTATGCTCCTTAGTTATTGATGTAAGACTTGCCTTGTACGTGGAAATGGGTGGCCAAATAAAATC